TACTGACCCCGGGCCCTCGGGCAGTGCCTGAGTTTCCAAATGGTCAGTCCGCCCCTGCTCCCGTACCTCTGTACAGGATGGGGAACTCTGCAGTGCAGTTCCCCTCCGGTTGCTATGGAAGATAGAATGCAGCATAGTGAGTGCTGACAACTCTCACTCATGGCTAGAGGAGATTCCACCCATAACAGGTACATGTTTATGACAGGCTGCTTGCTGACTGCACCTTCATTGCTCATGGCAAGCATATATACACCTCCTGGGTCCATACCCCACTTCCTGGATAACTTCGCCGCCTGGCTCCCCTTCTTCCTCTCCTCTGAGCTACCGACCATCATCCTCGGGGACTTCAATATCCCCATCAACGACAACAACCCGGCCACTTCCCAATTCCTCCACCTAACCTCCTCCTTCGCGCTCACACAGCACATGCAATCCTCCACCCACATCGGAGGGAACACCCTGGACCTCGTCTTCTCCCACCTCTGTACCCTCAACCAGTTCTCTAACACTGCCTTCCCTCTCTCTGACCACCACCTCATCACGTTCTCCATCTCCCCTTCCCCCAACTCCCCCCCCCAAAAACGCCAAACCATCACCAGCCGCAATCTCCGCAACCTGAACCCGGCCCCCCTCCACTCAGCCGCCGAACGCCTACACGACAGCATCCTCCCACTATCATGTCCTGACATAGCCACCACCTTGTACAACGACTCACTGTCAGCTGCCCTAGACTCTCTAGCACCCCTAACCACACGCATCTTCAAACCTAGGCCGCTTCAACCATGGCAGAATGACAGCACTAAACGCCTCAAACGTCGAAGTTGCGCACTGGAGAGACTGTGGCGCAAAACCAGGTCCCCTCACGCATTCTCCCTCTACAAATCTGCCTTCCTCACTTACACCTCCTCCCTCCACGCCGCCAAGCAGGCCTACTTTGTTAACCTAATCAACACCCTCTCCTCCTGCCCTTGCCGACTCTTCTCCACCTTCAACTCCCTGCTCTCTCCCCCCCCTCCTCGACTTAGTACCTCACTCACCGCCCACGAGATTGCCACCCATTTCCGTAACAAGATTGACGCTATCCGTAAGGACATTGTCAACTTGCAATCTACCTCCCCACCTAGCCTCCCCTCCCCCGTCACCCCTTCTTCTCCCCCCTCCTCTGCCCTCACAACCGCACTGCCCTCCACCTCTCCCCAGGCCCTGCCCACCGTAACCCCCCCTGAACTGCACTCCCTCAGCCCTGTCACTACTGAGGAAGTCGTCAAGGTCCTCTCAGAAGCCCGCCTCGCTACCTGCCCCCTGGACCCTATCCCCTCTCAACTCCTCCGGTCACCCCCCTCTTCCCTCATCCACTCCCTCACCCACATCTTCAATTTCTCCCTCTCTACTGGCGCATTCCCCTCCCCCCTAAAGCACACACATATCACCCCCATCCTCAAAAAGCCCTCCCTGGATCCCGCAGACCCCAACAACCTCAGACCCATCTCCCTGCTGCCACTCACCTCCAAGCTCCTTGAGCGCTTAGTCTACGATCGCCTAAGCGCCCACCTTATTAACAATAACCTCCTTGACCCATTACAGTCCGGCTTCCGTCCCCTACACTCCACCGAAACTGCCCTCCTCAAAATCACTAACGACCTACTAAACGCCAAAGCCAAGGGCGACTACTCTGTCCTCCTTCTCCTGGATCTCTCTGCGGCCTTTGACACAGTCGACCACCCCCCCTCCTCCTTAATAAACTACTCTCCCTTGGCATCAGAGATACCGCTCTCTCCTGGTTCTCATCCTACCTATCCCGACGCTCCTTCAGCATCACCTACAATGGCGCCACCTCCCCCTCCCTCCCCCTCTCTGTTGGGGTCCCTCAAGGCTCTGTCCTTGGGCCCCTTCTCTTCTCCATCTACACCTCCTCCCTGGGTACACTCATACACTCCCATGGCTTCAATTATCACCTCTATGCTGACGACACCCAAATTTACCTCTCCACCCCTCTCCTCACCCCCACTATCTCCGCCCGCATCACTCACCTCCTAAACGACATCTCAGACTGGATGTCGCTCCATTTCCTCAAGCTTAACCTCTCCAAAACCGAACTCCTCGTCTTTCCCCCTGCCCACACACCCCCCCCCCCCATCCATATCCATAAACACCACCAACACCACTATCATTCCCGCCCCGCAAGCCAAAGTCCTTGGCGTCATTCTTGACTCGAACCTCTCCTTCCTGCCTCATGTGAAATCACTTACAAACACCTGCAGGCTCCATCTCCGCAATATTGCCAAGATACGTGCCTTCCTCACTCCAGGCACCACCAAACTTCTTGTACACTCCCCCATCATCTCACGCCTTGACTATTGCAACTCTCTTCTCACTGGCCTACCCAAGTGCAGGCTCTCCCCGCTCCAGACCATCCTGAACTCAGCGGCCAGACTCATCCACCTCACCACCCGCTCCACCTCTGCCACCCCCTTCTGCCTCTCCCTCCACTGGCTCCCGATTGCCCAACGCATCAGATTTAAACTTCTAATCCTGACCTACAAAGCCGTTCATAACACTGCCCTTGACTACCTCACCAACCTGATCCCCAAGTACCACCCTACCCGTACCCTTCGCTCCTCACAGGACCTCCTTCTATCCTGCTCCCTGGTCTCCTCCTCCCATGCACGCCTGCAGGACTTCTCCAGGTCCTCCCCTATCCTCTGGAACTCACTGCCCCAATCCATCCGACTGTCGCCTTCCCTCCCCACATTCAGGCGCTCCCTCAAAACCCATCTCTTCAGGGAAGCCTACCCCACCCTCAGCTAACGGCCATTCTCCCTCATTCCTCCCACCACTTCATCCCCCTCAGCCACTTCATCCCCCTCAGCCACTTCCTATTGTTCCACCGCCCCCTCCCTCCTAGATTGTAAGCTTGAAAGAGTAGGGCCCTTTTACCCCTCGTACGCTGTCTGTTTTTGTTGTACTGTGCCATGTATTGTCCCCCCTATTGTACAGCGCTGAGCAAACCCTTTGGCGCTATATAAACTCGATGTAATAATAATAATAATATATAACCTGCAGCAGTCTACAGCTTGGGTCACTAGCACATGGAGTATGAAGAGTCCTTCATACTCTGTGTGCTAGTGACCCAAGCTGTAGACTAATTGCAAAGTTGTGCTGGTTACTTGCATTACACCCCTTTGAGTAACTTTAGACCAGGCAAAAGGCAAAGTTTCAGCACCTTACTGAATAAAATGTAGACAGTACAGAGTCCAGTATGACACAGTCTCTTCCTAAATCCATAATCCTACTCAGGCTGTGCGCTACCCCGGGGTACCTACAAAAGGTAGAGTCCATGGGCTTAAAGGTCCATCAGTGGCATTTCACAGCATCTGGGGTTTTTGGGGGTGGACCCCAGGTACAGAGGACCTTCTGCAATATGGCAGCAGGTGGCATTCTTGTACAACTCACGGGTACAGCTTCCCGATTGTCTCTCTTTCTCTAGAGCTGTCAGCTCTCCTTGGGGAATCTCCCTTCTGAACCACTGTCCCTCTTTTATTCTTTTATTTCATGGACTCACAGATAACTTGCCAAAAATGCACTAAGCCCTACCATCCCATCTGGGGCAGCACCTAACTAGAACATGCTTCATCCTGCGTGCATGGTGATCCTGCCAGTAACGCACTTCTTGTTGAAGGATCACAACATTCACTCTCTGCACTGTATCTATGGAGGAGCACTCTAAGCTGCTCTCCTAAATTGGACTACAAACACCTCCCTTCTCCTCACCTTTATTGCAAAGAGAAAAATGGTTTTGTAGGTCACAGAAGATTCACTTTAATCATGGCAAATTTGGACCCAAAGACATTCTCCATGAAAAGAATGTACTCAGCCTAAAAAAAAGAAAACTGATGCAGCTACCGCATCAAAAGGCTGGTAAGTTGCAATATCTAAAATTTTTGCTTTTAGAGAGTTTAGATTTTAATTTGTATCTAAGGCGAATCTTTTTGTAATTTTGGATAGAGAAGAATAAAACCCCTGTCAAGTTTTTATTTGTGTACCAGCTGGGGAGATTCACCCTCTCTATTTCTTCTGGTGACCATTGCCCAGGGCAGAAAGTGACAGGAAACACTTTTCAGTAACAGCTAAGAGTGGATTTCCTCTCACATTGGAGAGATTTCCTCCTAAATCCTATTGTGTGTCTGGGAAAGTCAATGAGGGAAACTCTCTAATGGGACACAAACAGAAAATAACTGACAGGTGTTCTAATCCATCCACACTCTATCCAAAATGTTTTACTTTTTCTTTTTATTTATTCTTTTTTATTGGAAAAAGAACAGCATACATAATAATAACAGGTACAATCATCACATGCACAACATAAAATGGGGTGTTACATCCATCGTATCATCCATCAACGTAGTCCCCTTTTTAGTATTAGCACGTTAACAAAGTGCGAACATAGTTAAAGTGTTACTAAACTCACAACTGTAAAATCAGTCTGTATGTGCAGTAAAGCATGCTTGTTATAAACATTGTGGAACCTAAGGAGTTAATCCTCTAGATTGTATAAAAAGGATGTTTGATCCTGTCTTCTTTGATCCTTCCCTTCTTCCACATTTCCCATTTCATCCCCAGCTGTGGGGGATAGCTGCACATGCTCAGTTTAGTGTGTATTGCTAGAGAGTTTTTTCTTTTTCTTGGGAGAGTACATGTGATCAGCACAGGGCCAATCAGCACTGTCCAGACAGAGGGTCAGGGGTCCTACAGCCTCATAGGACAGGGAGAGGAGACTAAAAACTACTCCGACAAGCTTTGCCAGTGCTCTGCTGGACACTTATAGAGGTCACAAGACTACTATGTACTGCTGATGAGACAAGGTATTAAGTAGTTTATACTTGCTAAAACAATTGCATTTCCATGTTCTGTGTACTGTGGGAGACCAGATATAGTGAATGCAGGGTCCTGAGTTTAGTAACACCCTAACTGTTTCAAAGAGACTGTATACTTGGCCCTAATACACTATATTGCCAAAAGTATTGGGACACCCTTCCAAATCATTGGATTCAGGTGTTCCAATCACCTCCATGGCCATAGGTGTAAAAATCAAGCACCTAGGCATGAAGACTGCTTCTGCAAACATTTGTGAAAGAATGGGTCGCTCTCAGGAGTTCAGTATATTCAAGCTTGGTACCTGCCACCTGTGTAAGTCCATCCATGAAATTTCCTTGCTACTAAATATTCCACGTTCAACTGTTAGTGGTATTATAACAAAGAGGAAGCAACTGGGAACAACAGAAACTCAACCACAAAGTGGTAGGCCATGTAAAATGGTGGAGCAGGGTCAGCGCATGCTGAAGAGCACAGTGTGCAGAAGTTGCCAACTGTCTGCAGAGTCAATAGCTAAAGACCTCCAAACTTTGTGTGGCCTTCAGATTAGTACAACAAGAAGTGCATAGAGAGCTTCATGGAATGGGTTTCTATGGCCGAGCAGCTGCATCCAAGCCTTACATCACCAAGTGCAATGAAAAGCTTCAGATGCAGTGATGTAAAGCACACCGCCACTGGACTCTAGAACAGTGGAGACATTCTTTGGAGTGACAAATCTTGCTTCCCTGTCTGGCAATCCAATGGACTTATCTGGGTTTGGCAGTTGCCAGAATGGTACTTGCCTGACTGCATTGTGCCAAGTATAAAATTTGGTGGAGGGGCATTATGGTGTGGGGTTGTCTTTCAGGGGTTGGGCTTTGCCCCTTAGATCCAGTGATGGGAACTCTTAAGGCATCAGCATACAAAGACATTTTGGACAATTTCATGTTCCCACTTTTGTGGGAACAGTTTGGGGATGGCCCCTTCCTGTTCCAACATGTCTGTGCACCAGTGCACAAAGCAAGGTCCATAAAGACATGGGTGAGCGAGTTTGGGGTGAAAGAATTGACTGGCCTGACCTTGAAGAACACCTTTGGGATGAATTATAGCGGAGACTGCGAGCCAGGCCTTCTCATCCAACATCAGTGCCTGACCTCACAAATGCGCCTCAGGAAGAATGGTCAAACATTCCCATAGACACACTCCTAAACCTTGTGGACAGTCTTCCCAGAAGAGTTGAAGCTGTTATAGCTGCAAAGGGTGGGCCAACTCAATATTGAACCCTATGGACTAAACCTGGCATGCCATTAAAGTTCATGTGCGTGTAAAGGCACTAAAGGCATTTTGGCAATATAGTGTATATCAATATTTTAAAAAAAGCACTTTGTGGAAACAAAGTGAACAAAGTCTTAGTTTTTTTAGGTACCTTTTTTTTACCACGTTGGTCTGTGATGGGCAAAGAGCTATTCACAAATACCAGCAACCAAAGGGGGAGAAGTCAGCTCAAAAAAAAAACATACCGAGATGTCAGTTATTGCTGCTCAGCAGACAAGCCATGAGACAGTTTAAATGTAAAAATGTCGGATTTTATTCAGAGAAGAGCGTGTTTTAAATTTTCCTTCTAAAGACAGAAACATAACACTCTTTTCCTTCCTCCGCAGTCTCTGATGTGGCATTGACAAACCTGACATGTACCTGTGAGGACACAGCCTGGACCCCTCTGTGCTCTGCCACCCTGTGCACCCTTCACTCACACCTGGGGAAGTTTATCTTTACATTCCAGGATGGGTACTGGCCCGTCAATGTACAGCGGGTTTTAAATGCTTCTCTTCACCACCTCATGCAATTCCCAAAGTCCTGCAGGTCAATAGGCACCACACTGCACCCTCCTGGGGTGAAATCTCTGGTCACTTTCTGTGATGGACATCTGGTAAGTCTTAGTGATGGAAGAGTTTAGAGGTACCTGTCAACACTAGCTGGCTAGCTATGCACACATCTGATCTCCAAACTTACCAAACCAACACAATCTGCCTTTTTTTTTTTTGCAATAGAAGAGGAGATATTAAATACCTGAGATTCTCACAAACCATTGGGATAATTCCTGTACATGTTGGTAGCTGAACTTTTTTTCTGGAATATCTTCTCAACTATGAGGATAAGTGACCATAGACCTGGTAGCTTAAAGGAAGTGGAGATATCAAAAAAGTTTTTTTTTTTCAACAGACAGGGAAATAATGGTCTTGAGTTATCAAAGTATAGTAGCACATAAGATATGCTAAAATAAGATATTGCCTGAGGAACCGCTTTAGCATGCTTGCGTTCATTTAATGGTGACTAAAGTGGCATTACATTTTTTTTTGTTAGGGTCAATGGGACAGTTTTACACAGTTCTTATAGTGGCATTCATTTTACATGACAAATAATTACATTGTTTTTTTTCTGGCTAATAACAATTATATATTTTTGTAATCTTTGTATTTTCCCAGCGTGGGTTTATCATGATGGACGTTTACAATTTCTTTGTTCAGCCACTAAAGAAGGGGAATTCTTTGCAGAGGCATGGACTTCAGGGCCTTCATATAATGTCCCGAGCAAATATTGCACACACAGGTACTGAGACTGAATAAGCTGCAGTAGCAACTGTTATACAATTTTTTTGAAGTGGAAAGTGTCTTGGTGCCATAGAGAAGCTTAAGCCACATATGGAATTGCAGTTATGTCTGTTATACTTAAATAATATAAAGTGACCAGACCTTTGTCGGCTTTATAGATTCACTGAAGCACCACAAAGCTCATCAACTGACAAAAAGAGCAACTGTCGGCGTTAGACACCTGGAACTTCTGGTGGTCGTTGGCCATGATGTCTATCAGTTTCATCAGGAAGACACAGAGAGATACATTCTTACCAATTTAAACATTGTATGTACACAGAGTGACCCATTAACAACCACAACAAGCAATGAGCTTTGGCCATGTATTTATTTAACCAGTTCTGCAAAAATGTCATCTGAAATTTGATTTAGTTGCTATAACTAAGGGTTCCCATAAAGCCTGTGAATGTTTGCAACAACTTATTTCAAAAAAGGAACTTTATTAAAGGAAATAAATAATGGTTTAGTATACATTTTGTTCCTGCTCCAAAGTAAAAGCCAAAAAAAAGTTTTGGATAGAGCTATACTTTAACTTCTTTCCTAAAACATACCAGTTGTTTACAGAGCACAATAGCTAAAGCTGAATGACTCAAAGCAATGATTGATAAAGATATTAATTCTTAACAAAACCCAGTTACTCAATAAATTAATATTAAACTTGGCCATATTCTCTTTCAGGGGGCAGAGCTGCTTAGAGATGTCTCCCTTGGAGCTGCAATTCGAGTTCACCTGGTAAAAATGATCATTTTCACTGAGCCGGAGGTGAGGTTTTCATCATGGAGGGGACATTGTGGCTGGCATGGGGAAATTTGTGTAACATAGTTTCTCCTTTGCCTTTTTACCTGTCAGTCACTGTCAGTGACATCACCACTTTGCCTCTTCATCTGTTTCAATCAAATAATGGCTTGTAGTCATGGGAATAAATACAAGGCATTCTGTAAATGCCAGCACTACCATGCAAACAACCCACTGTGGTTACTATACAGAACGGTAGCTGCCCGGCAGAGTACCCAGAAGACCACAGCAATCACTGTAGTAGGGGATGAGAAATAGAGGGCAGAATCTGGCTTTTGAGAGGCAGTTCTCCACAGGGATCCTAGGGATGCTAGATTTTAGCGATGGCTAAAACAAGCAAACAAGTACAAAAGAGGAATAGAGAGAGGAAGGGAGCTAAAGAGAAATGTGCTAAAGAAAGGCAAAGAGAGGCAGAAAGGCAGTGAAAGGGAGGAGAGAGAAAGAGAAAAGAGGGAGAGAAAGAAAGAAATATGATAAATTGATAAAGAAATATGATTACAGCCAGTAATAATAATAAAAAAAGGACATTCATTTACGTGTAGATATTTTAGCAGAATTTAAATCCTGCCTGTAAACAGATTATCACAAAGAATAGAGGGTGGGATTAAAGCAGAGCATGCACATCAAAGTATATGATTAACAATTTGACACTTCCACGCTATATATGTTTAAATGTCATAAAGTATAAATAAAAAACATCCAGCACAGTATCGCAGGTATCAATACATAAAGCTTATAGAAAAAAAAAGCTGTACCTTTTTTGTTTTACATCACCGTATTTGTCTTTACCTTTATGCCAACAGGCCAGGATCCAGATCAGCAACAATCTCACATCCTCTCTGATGAGTATGTGTGAATGGAGCAGGAAAATCAATCCTGAAAGCGACTTTGATCCCCAGCATGCTGACCTCGTCCTCTACGTCACCAGGTATGAGATGAGGACAACCTAATATCAAGATTCTTTTCATCAAGGGCTGCAGTTACCCATAGCAGCTGCTTAGAACTCCTCAGAACCCATTAGAACTTCGCTTAGTGATCTCACATTAGTGAGATGGAACCTAATTGGTTGCTGGGGGTACTGAATACTGTGCACTATCCTTTGTTTTCATGCTGCCATATTTTATATATTTAAGTGTGTGTATGTGTATTTATTGCAGTAATGAGTAGGTTTTGAGATGACTGAATACAACTGATTGTCAGTATTACCTCCCTTCTTTGAAAGTGCTGACAACCACAATGCAATTACTCAAATACAAGACCAGGCACCCTTGCAGAATAGGAAACCTGATGATCAATATTATAGGCACACAACCTATATATATAGAAGGAGAGGTCTAATATGGTTGCCTTCATATTTTTTTTCCTGACTGGTTTCTGTTTGGTACACAAGACAGATAGACCTTACGAACTATAAGTCCCCATTCACACCGGTGCGTATTCAGTGTGAATCAGGCATTAGAGTTCATTCACACAGAAATATGCATATTTACTGCCTGAACGCAGGTTCTTGCTGGCAGAAGATCCTGCAGAAAATGCACATCTAAAGTAATTGTGCTTACACGTACAAGGTTTAGACGTTTACAATTCTTTCTTTATTAAAATGAATGGTTAGACATTTACAGTGTATGTCTAAGGGGTTTATTTACTAAAGCTGGAGAGTGCAAAATCAGACCTGAAATCAAGACCCACTTCTGCATAGAAACCAATCAGCTTCTAACCTCATCTTGTTCAATTAACCACTTGCTAACCGTGGTATAGTCAAATGATGGCTACAGCGCGGTTATCCAGTTCTGGGAGGGCGTCATATGACGTCCTCCCAGAATGCACCCGCCTGTGCGACCCCAGCAGTGCGCACCTGGCGATCTCCGTGATTGCTGTGTCCTACAAACACAGCTGATCACGTGATGAGGTAATAGGCCAATCACAGTGGTCTTTTACCACGTGATCAGCTGTGTCCAATGACACAGCAGATCATGGAGTAAATACAGTTGCTGGTTGTCGGCAGCACTTTCCTCACGCTGTCACAGCATGAGGAAAGTACTGCCGACAGGGGCGGACTGACCATTTGGAAACTTGGGCACTGCCTT